AAAGCAAAGCAAATCAAGCAAACAACTCCCCCTCCACCAAAAAAAACCCCAAACAGACAAAAGGCAGAAAAACTTAAACCCAGTGAAACCAACAACAACAAAATCTGTCAATCACTTCCCTGGGGTCCAAGGTCATTGCATTGATCACGTTAACAATTTTCCAGTGATACAGCACTCCAGACACTGTCAGTATGAGGAGTCTGTACGTGTCACAACCCATGAGCTGTCGTCCTGCACAGTTTGCTCTCCCACTCAGTTGAGCTCTGTTTATCCTAAGCATGGGCATTATTGGTGCGAGGGCAAAACTTCCTAGATCAATTTTTACAAGTGCGGATGCCTGCCCAACAGATAAAAACCTGTTGTATCAATGCGTGGGGGCCATTGTGATACTAAATATATAGTGATTTGCGGTCCCTTTCCATTGGACACCCACCAACCCAGGGATTCCATGCAAGGTCCAAGGACTGCCACTTCCACAGCCCTGGGGTGGCCACTCTCTGCTTCCTCTCCCATCAGAGTACCCCAGTCCTCAGTCCAAGGGAACAGGCAGCTTCAAGGCAGGGCTTAGTTCATTAAGTCCGACCTCCATGTTGAGTCCTTCTGGTGCAGCCCCTAGGGAATGCCATGCTACCTGCAAGGTCAGTGTCTAAGGTCATTATGGTGCTTAGTCAATGGCATGGTTCTCCAGGTGTTGGGGAGAAACATAGTTGTAGTGTCTACCCACATGGAATATGGTCCATTGTCCCTCTAGGTTCCCTACAATCATTGTTTAGCATCCCTTCCCATTGTGAGATTGCTTCTTTCCACTCACCCATCATACTCACAAACAGAAATATCAGTGTTTCCTCCAAAATATAGATGCCCCCTCCCCTGATCTTCATTTGGTTTTCTAACAAGGTTCTCCTTCCATTCCTGTGGAGGACCCATTGATTTGTCACAGCCTTGTCTCACTGTTGTAGAGCATCAAGAGGTTGGTCTTCTCCCTTTTCCCCTTCTTGAAGGAGTGACCCCTGCTGATGTGAGGTCTCCCCCTTCAAGGTGCTTCTTGTGAAGTGCACATAAGGGGAGATGATATATATGGTTCACGGCTGGTAGGTGGCCTTCTACCCTTTTGTTCAGGAATTGGTCCCTAAAAGTCTCTGATTTCTAGGAGTTTTAAATTCAAAGCTGAGTTTATATTTTCATCACAATTACAGTATCATGGGTTATAAAAAGCTCAGAAGTCTGATTTTGAGTTCTTCGTCTATCATTCCTTAGCCATGTGCTCTTGACAAGTCACTGAACACATCGGAGCTGGTTTTCTCCCCTGTAGAGTGGCACTTGCTCTCCCGGCCTAACTCCCTAGGATTAGTTGGATTTAGGAAATCTTCCGGACCTTAGATGGTGTCCCTATGAAGATAGTAGGTGTTAAAGAGGCAACTTTACAGGGAGAAGAGATTGAAGTTAGAAAACCAGGGTTGGAGCCCTGGTTGTACCAAATACTGCAAATGTGTTACTATGCAAGCAATTTTATCTCACTAAGCCTTTATTTTCTAATATTAAAAAAAAAAAGGTGTACTATACCTCTCATACCAAATTGTTCTAAGGCAGTGGTTCTCAATCTTCCTAATGCCGTGACCCTTAATGCAGTTCCTCAGGTTGTGGTGAACCCCCAACCATAAATTTATTTTCGTTGCTACTTCATAACTGTAATTTTGCTACTGCTACGAATCGGGCGACCCCTGTGAAAGGGTCATTTGACCCCCAAAGGGGTCGCAACCCACAGGCTGAGAACCACTGTTCTGAGGATTAAATCAGGTAACATGGTAACATGAAGGTACATGGTGCACCTAAGCTACCTGTAAATGTTTCTTGGACCTTCACTTTATTCTTTCTTCAGCCTTGTAGCCCATATCTCCTTGGGTTCCTTTGTTTTTACAATGCTTTACTGGAAGTGGTGGCCATTGTTCCAACTGTGCGCTAGGAGAGCAATCAGCAGATGTCCCACTCCATGAATACAGCTGACGGATAGGCCCAGAAGTTTTTTGTTTCCTTTTTGAATTAGATGTTGGGTATTTGATTTTATTTTGTTTAAGAATGACAGAGCTGTGAAAGGGTGGGAGTTGGCTGTCTTTTGGGGTGGTATTTATCAGGAAGTCCCTTGACTGCCCAATTCTAAAAAAATCTTGTTATAAAACGCATTTACCAAATATTTGGGGGGAATCGTGTGGCATAAGATGTTCAGAGCTCTTTGGAAGTGTTTCAAGTAACATTAAGTCTTCCCTTGCAGCTTGGATAGAGCTATTCCCTTCTGCTTAAGCAACAGAGTAAATTATAATCTTCCCCACAGTAATTATTCTATTCTTTTTTTTTTTTTTGTCTACGGTATTCTTAATCTTAGGCTTTAATTTTTATGGGCAATTTTAAGGGCATTTAACAAGACATAGGTAAACTAATCTTTCTTTTCCTTGCTACAAAAGATTTTTAGATAGCTAATATGAGCAATCTAAATAAAATTAAACTGTACTCATTAACAAAGGAAATATAATTTAAATAGTTTTTGTGTGTGGGAGATATGGCATAAACTTTTGATAAAAGTATGGTTTTACAAATTTGCTAGGTTTATTGTTACATGTTTTATCCTTCTTTACTTTCTATAATAACATTGGATAATAGCTTTATTTCCTTTTTAAAAATTGGTGGGCCATAATGCTTATTGGCATTGTGGTGTGTATTTTAAATAAAATGTAAAAACTAAGAAAGAGTTTTGGAGTACTTTCAGATGTAGGAAAGTAGTTATATTCCAGAATTTAGCAATACTTTACCATGAAGTAACTGTTCCAGTTGCTTTTATTTAAAATCCCATGCATAAATATTAGAATTCCCTCTATAGAATCCGATAACTTCTTTCAGAGAGCTATAGGATATGTGGAATGCTTTGACCAACTCAGTTCCTGTTTAAGGAAAGCATTAAACAAAAGAAAGCTGGAAGTTGACTTCCTAGAGTTGTTTAAAAAAAAAGAATTTTATATGTTTTTGGAAAGATTTGGTGATCTGTTTGTAGACCAGAATATGTTGTAAAACACTAATGCTAAATTATTTCTTTTACCCTTATTCATAAAGCATGTTTGTGGAATATATACTGTAGTAGTGTTATTTTTTCAGAATAAAAACAGTATTAACTTATATTAATATTTCTGTGCATTGGTTCAAATTTTTATCATCCTAACATTGAGTTTTAAACGTGAGTATTAATAACTACATGGTAAGAACTTAAAAATATTGAGTAAAGTAGGAATTGAAACACAAGTGCATAATAAGAGTAAATTGAAGGATAATATACTTGAGATGGAAAAGTGAACCCCATCCTGGTTTTGGTATTAAAAGAAGCAAAGTCTGATATGCAAAGGAAAAGTCATGCCATTTATGAAGCTGTCGGGTGTAAAGAAGAATCTCAGTGCTCAGGAAACACCTGTATTCCAGGAATAATAATAACACATTTGAGTAAACTCCAGACTCATGGTCGTTGAGTCCGTGCTGACTCTGCATCCTTGTGGGCCAGGATGGAACTGCTGTGTGGGAACAGAAGGCCTCCTCTTTGTCCTGCGGGTTACCGGGTGGTTTCACCCACCACTCTGGAATAGTGTATCCCCATAGATAAACGCATGATGTGCATCCTACTGTGAAAATAGAAACAAGATGCTTGGAGGTTTACAAGAGTTAGAGGCAAATACTTTATAAATACACAATCCTGCAATTGTGGTGATTTGTGAGCATATGCTTAGCTGTCAGACATGCAGGCTGAACAGATGTGGAAAGGAGAGTGGGAGTATACCCCCAAATAGATCTAATTTGACAGAGGATATTGGCATGTGTGTATATATACAAATCCATGAATGTAGTGGAATATACAGGAGGCAAAGTTATGAATATTTCCTAGACATAACCAAACACCTTGAGGAAATGAAAAACTCTACCACCACTTTTTAGTATTGCAACTCAAGGCTTGCATTGTTTTCTTCCGTTCTTCAAGCTTGAGAATTGCCGAGTGTGTCATCTCTTGCTTTTCTAACTCCAGTTCTTTGCACATGATATTATAAAACATATCTGATATTTGGGTCCATTAGCCCACTAGCCACATAAGTCTTTCAATTTCCATCATTCTTCTTTCCTCTGAATGAGGAGAGAAGAGTGGTTTCACCTCAATTAGTTGCTCGTGAGCTTTGAAGACCCCAGTTGCTACTCACCTAAATAAGACGTAGAACTACTTGTATGTTATGCCAATAGCCCCTTGGTCTCCCTTAAGTTAATAGTTCTGATCTCCTAGCTCCAGGATACATTCCTTCCAGGTGTTTGGGAAGTCACCACCCTAAACAAGGTAGATTGGCACCGTGACTGCAACAATGGATGCAAACAGCAAAATTGTCAGCCTGGCACAGGCTTAGCAATGTTTTGTTTTGTTAGATATAAGATTTGGAACTAGATCCTAGAACCAACAACAACAACATGAGAATAATAGTGACTTTATAAATTATGAGGCAAAATGATTAGGTGATGATTTGGTAAAATAATAAATATGAAGTGCTTAGTATAAAGCCTCTCCTGCAGGACACAGTCTATGTTACCTACTGCTGTCGAGCCCATCTGACTCATAGTGACCCTGTAGGACAGAGGAGAACTGTCTCATAGGGTTTGTAAAGACATAATCTTTACAGAAGTAAAATGTCCCATCTCTTTCCCATGGAGTGGCTCATAGGTTCGAATCTTTGGGCGAGCAACTGGACCCGTCATTGTGCCACCAGGGGTCTTCAAGGTGTTCTCTAATGCTATTGAAAGCAATGTGTCCTAGATTCTCCTAACCAGCGTGCAAACACATTTTGTGATATAACCATGTACATAGTAAATTGGGGGAAATTTTGTTCAATAAATAGTTATTGAATACATTAATTAATGACCAGAATGTTTTCCTGATGGAAATGGACCTAAAAATATATACACATCTATTTTTTTTCTCTTTGCAGATTTTGTTCTGTACTTTAAACACACCAAAAGTTGACATGCAAAGACTCTTAGGTGTACAAATAGGTCTTGAAGACTTCATTTTCGCCCATGTGAAAGGAATTGAAAAAGAAGTGAATGTGTATAAATCTGAGGATTCACTTGGCCTCACCATTACAGACAACGGTGCTGGGTATGCTTTTATAAAGGTAAGTTGTTGGATAAAACAAAACAAAACAGAAAACCACCACCAACAAAGCTATGATCTAACAGAGTAAAGTTTCAGAAAATTTACCATGTCAGCGAAAGTTAGCATGAGCTTCAGTGTAAGTCCCTCAGTAGGAAGGGATGGATTGGTAATGTTTCACTTTCTTTTAAAATGCTTCTGTCCTAACTTGTTCTCCACCTTCTTTACTTTCTTACCTCCAGTTTAAACCTCCTCTGTGATTTAGAATATATTGCAAAGGAAAATATGGTCCTAGTTTCTACTTACTATCCATACAGTTTCTTTTAAGTCTCTAGCTCATTAACATATGATTACTTAAATGCTGATTTAGTATTACTCCTAACTGCACATATTTTTGACTGTCTTATTTGCTGCCCTAAAAATGCTCTTTAAAATTATCCTTTAGAAAATTTAAATAGCAATATGGAGTTGTAAGGCTAGAATAAGACATTTAAAAATAGTGTGAATAATTGAAAGAACTGAGGAGTGATTAAAATAAGTGCAGACTCGCCTCCTAATGATAAGTAGTATTATTGTGTTATTGTAACAAGTAGTTGTGCTAATAACAACAGTATTTACAGTATAATATGAACTTTGTATATATTTTCTCATTTCATCCTTGGAATAATTCTATTTGGTTGGGGCTTTATTTTTTTTTATTTTTTACTTGCTTTTTGTTCAAGTGCAACTAATGGGTAAAATGAACTAATAAAAATATTAATTTTGTTATTATTGGGAATATACACAACAAAACCTACACACATCAATCCAACACTTTCCACATGTACAATTCCGTGATGTCTGTGAGACATATATGTGTAAATATTATTATCAATTCCTCTTTGGATGATGTAGAATCAGGGTCCAAAAGGTCAAATAACTTGCTCAAAGTTGTACAACTAGACAAATTCAGGATTTGAATTAAGCGTTCTATTCCCCAAACCATCATTCCTAACCACTAAGCAAAGAACTGGCATTAGACTTTATACCAAAGAGAAAGTCCAATTGGTATTAGAGTTTCATGCCTTTGTATAAGTTCTCCATTTGCACCTACTTTGTCATTATTGAAGAAATACTCTTGGAAAACTTATCTGTTTAACTGTGGATGGTACTTTATTTAACTTCCCACTTGATAGATTGGCTATTTTTAGCTCTGCAAAAGATAGTCTGTGCTGAAGGTTGAGAAGGTGACCAAATGGAAAATCCGAGAGTGGGGAAAGTCATGTAGGATTATTCTGGGGATGCTCAGGACATGAGCCACATGTCCCAATACCTTTCTAATGTTAGCAGAGAAGGGCTTGGAAGGTTTGCACACATACGTGGGCTTTCTAGATTTTGACCTCTGATGTCCAAAGCTGTGTTTCTCTTACCCTCTTTTCAATGCCATGTCCAACATGTGCCTGCCTTAGGGTATGAGCCACTGTCCCTGTAGAGAAACAGGGTACATGGTGGCAAAGGAGAGAGTGGAGAATAAGCCAAACTGCCCAACATATGGGCCAATTTAGGAGATAATTGAGTACTGTACTTATATAGTAGTGTACAAGATTGATATAATAAAAGTTTTTGAAATAATCTTAAAAATGATAGAAAAGTTACAATAATAATACAAAGAAGTTCTATATCCTTTAATCCAGATTCAATAACTTTTACCATTTTGTAGTATTGGCTTTATTGTTTTTACTCTGGATTCTGCCCATTTAGCCCTTAATACTTTAATGTGTATTTGCTAAGAATATGGATATTCTCCTACATACAGTTCAGTAATGATTTCAAGAAATCAAATGTTGATAACAATATTTAAAAACTAATTTATGGTTCATATTGCAGTTTCATTATTTTTCTTAATGTCCCCTACGCCATATCTCTCATCTACATTTTCAGCACAGGTTTAGTCAAGATCATGCATTTCATTTGGTTTTAATGTATTTGTAGTCTTCTTTAATCGAGTAAAGTTCCACAGTCTTTTATAGGATATACCTCAATTTGAGTTTATCTGATATTTTCTCATGTTGAGAAGCAGGTTTTATATATATTATATATACAGGAGAATTGCACCGATGATACTATATTCTTCTCTATTCTTGTCCTTGGGTGGTGCAAATGGTTAAGCTCTTAGTGACTAATGGAAGGTTATTAGTTTGAAGCCACCTAGAGGTATCTTGGGAGACAGTCTTGGTGATCTGTCACACTGTGAAAACCCTTTCGAGCAGTTCGACTCTGCACATGTAGGCTCTCCATGACTCAGAAGTGAGTCCACACTAGCTAACGCAATGTTGTTTTCAGTGCTGTGTCTCCGACTGTGACGGCACTGCCAGGACTCCTTTATAGTCATGCTGTTTACATGCTAACACACTTGTTGATAAGGGGAACAATACTGTTAGTGAGGTAATCACACCTTAGAATAATCAACCATTTAAAATAAGCATTTCCAAGGACATTCAGAAGCGTTAGGAAAAGAGCAGGAATAGGAACAGGAAACAGGGAGAAGGTGGAATAAGTGATAGTATGTTGAGCCAAACGTCAGTGAATGAGATGAAACAAAAGGCATATGAATTGCTGAATGCAAAACTGCTTTGCAAATCTTCTCCCAATTCACAATAAAATGTACAAAAAGAGAATACGTGATGTTGATTTACACTATTTCTTATGTTAATTTTTGTCAATGGTGAAATTTTCAATCGAAAAGACAGAAGACTTGAGCATTATGATTTAAGTACCAAAATATCAACAATTCCTAGACAAAATATAGTATGTAGATATTTGGAAAACTCAGCATATCCTTATATTAGTACTTATAAATTCCCAGTACAATATAAAGCAGAGGTTAGAACACTATCTTTTTATTATGGGGCATACAACTTCTATTGCAACTACTCCACTCTATTGTTGCAGCATGGAAGCAACCATAGATCATACATAAATGAATAAGCATGACTATAATGGAGTCCTCATGGGCCAGGCAACTGAAAGGTCAGTGGTTCAAACCATCATTTGTTCCATGGGAGGAAAAGGGGATTGTCTACTCTTGTAAAGATTTATGTCCTTGGTAACCTTGTATGGTACTGTAATGAGTTGGAATTGGCTTGTTGGCAATGGGCTTGGTTTTTGTTCTTGCTGTTTAATGGATAGTGAAAATTTAATTTCATATAATTTTCATGTCACAAATATTATTTTTTGATGATTTTTAACCACTTAAAATGTAAAAGTTATTTATAACTTTTTGTTTAACTAAATAAAAACAGATAATGGTTAGATTTAGTCTGTATCCATAATCTACTGATCCCTGGTTTAAGAGAAGAGAGTTATACTTTGAGATTCAGAATAAAAATAAGATGTATAGCATGATAGGAAAATAGAAGTTAAATTTGTACTTTTGAAGAGATGAGTTCATTTTTAATGGAAATACCTTATGAATAACCATAAAAATCTCATTCTCAGAATGCTTTAATATAAAAGTTTTTATTATCTGGGATATTTTATTGTAGTAGAACTAAAATTAATTCTAGCTTAGAGTGATTTTTATTCTGAGAAATAGGTTAATAATATATTCCTAACCTTTCAACTTATTTAATTATCCAGAGCTAATAACCAGCAGGACCAGAAATATAGGAGGTCAAGGAGACAGGAGATCATAGGATGAAAGCTATGACCTATGAACTCTTATTGCCACTGGTCAATTCTGACTTATAACGATCTTATAGAACTAGAACTGCCACTGTAGGTTTCAGAAACTGTAATTCTTTACATGAACAGAAAGCCTCTTCTTTCTCCTGAGGAGCAGCTGGGAGTTTCAAACTGGTGACCTTGGGGTTAGCAGTCCATTATGTAGTCATTATACCACGAGGGGCCTGCTCTATGAACAGAGGCATGTAAAATCAGAAATGGAGGTGATGAGCTAGGAAAATAGGTAATGTGTGAGATCTAGTGGTCATGATATAGATAAAGAACAGCTTCGGTAGAAATTAGGAAATGCTTCATGAGGGAGGGAGGATAAAAAAATGAGCTGATACCAAGGGCTCTGGTGAAAGGAGAATGTTTTGAAAATGATGGCAACAAATGTACAAATGTACTTGATACAGTGTATGGATGTATGGATTGTGATAAGAGTTGTACGAGCCCCCAATAAAATGATTTAAAAAAAAAAAGAAATCAGGAAATGGAAAGTAGAAAGGTCAAGTTGTAAAAGAAGGAAATATCAGAGTTCAAAGGGGGTAGATCCTTTTGGATAATGATAGCACAAAATTTTGGTATTCACTGTGGATTGAAACTCAATGTAAAGAAAACCAAATCCCTCACAATGGACCAATATGGATCTCCATCATGATAAATGGAGAAAAGATTGATGTTGTCAAGGATTTAATCTTGCTGGAATCTACAATCTATGTTCATGGGTGCAACAGTCAAGAAATCAAATGACAAACTGCATTGGACAAATCTGCTCCACAAGATCTCTTTAAAGTACAAGGACTCCTTTTTAAGAACTAAGGTCCACCTGACTCAAGCCAAAACATTTTCATTTGCCTCATATGCATATGAAAAACAAACATTGAATAAGGAAGCCTAAAGAAGAATTGATGCATTTTGTGTTAGTCTGGGTAGACTAGAGAAACAAATTCATAAACACACATATGTATAGAAGGGAGAGGTTTATATATAAGAGGAATTGAACATTGAGAAAGCATCCCAACCCAGTCCAGTTCAAGGCCCTAAGTCTGATATTAGCCCATATATCTGATACCAATCTATAAAGTCCTCTTCAGACTCACAAAACACATGCAATGAAGCCAACCGCAGGACGATCACAAGCCAGTGGGTAGAGAGTCTTTGGATCTAGTGACGCTGTAAGCATCTCAGCGCTGGCAGGGGTCTCCACAGGGCTTCTCTGGCTTCCGAGGTCTGGTTGCGTCCATGTGGCTTGTCTTCTGCAATGTCTCTCAGGAATAGCAGAGTGAGAGAGGTGTCTTCTGCCTCCAAGGAGGAAGTACCAGATTTCCCAGAATTCTCAGGAGAAGGCCAGGTCCATACAAAAGTCTCATTGGCTATCTCCAGATTGACAGCCTAGACTCCACCCCTACAGTCTTAATCCTTAAATTGATACCAGATTGGGTGACTACCACACATTTGAATTGAATATTGAAAATACCATGCCTACCATAGGAATAAAAAATTATGTCTTGGAAGAAGTACAGTTAGAAGATTCCTTAGAAGCCAAGATGGTGAGACTTTGTCTTACCTGGTTTAGACATGTTATCAGGAGATAGTCAGTCCTTGGAAAAGGACATCATGCTTAGGAAAGTGGAAGGTCAGCCAAAAAGAAGCCCCTCGGTGAGATGGACAAGCCCAGGGCTGCAGTAATGGGCTCCCGCTGTGAGACTGATGCAGCTCCATGCAGTATGTACTCCATTCTGCTGTGCATAGGCTGTTAGGAGTTGGAAACAACTCGATGGTACCTAACAACAACTTACCCCAGAACACTGACATTAAGTCAGTAGTTCGAAGCTACCAGCTGCTCAGCAGGAGAAAGACAGGCTTTCTGCCCCATGAAGAGTGCAGTTCTGGAAATCCACGGAGCTGATCTACCCTGCCCTGTAGGGTTGCCATGAATCAGAATCGACTCAGTAGTGAGTTTGGTTAAAATTTTTTTGTGTGTGTGTTTGTGTGTGTATAACATCATTAAGCCAACTAATCCGTGATTTCCTCATTTATTAAATGGAAGAGTAAACATTTCCCTCCTAGAAATGTCAAAGAAGTCCTGATGATGTACAGGTTAAATACTCGGCTAGTAATCAAAGGGTCAGTAGTTCAAACTCACCAACCTTTCCACAGGAAAAAGGTGTTTGCTTAGAAATAGCACCGCCTTGAGCACCTTAGGGGGCATTTCTACTCTGTCCTATAGGGTTCGATGGCAACGACTTCTGGGTTGTTGTGAGATTAAGTGAGATAACTATTTACAGTGTTTACAATTGTTATATGAATGTTAGTCTATTCTTTCGAACAAAGCTAGAGGGCAGTGAGAGGTCTACAGCTCAGACCTGTAAGTTGCCTAGCATGCCAATCGGACCTTTGACTCAACTCCTGTGCCCGTTGCTCAAGGTTTTGAAGCATGCGTAATGCCACCCTGCAGTTGTACTGTGAGGAGAGGAGGAGCGTTTTATAAAAATATGGGATGAATGGAATGGAAGATACTATAGTATCTGAAATGGTTGGGACCCTTTAGGTTTATTAATGTAAATTTTGCTTTTCAAAAATGTTTGATAACCAGTTCCTCCTGCCTTTTGCAGCATTCAGGTGGAAAGCCAGGTAAGAGAAAGTTCATAAACGATATTAGAGAATGTTATAAATGTAGTCCCGTAAATATATGTAAAATTTCCATATTTATATATTAATATATCTCTTTTTCCTCTTAGCACTTTGTAACTGAGTAGCACATTTAGCAATAATATTAATTTCTCATAAGGTATGTTTATCAAAGTTCACTACATATCAGAACTTGTGTAAATTGCTACTTCATGCTTTATTTGATCCACTTGGAAGGTTAAAGCTCAGGAAACCCATAGACTGTATATTTAGAAATGTCCAGCTTTTCTGCTATGTCATTCATTTTATGATGTTCGTCTCTTGGTTTCTGATCTCATCTGCCTTCTTTATCCCAGATCCTGATCTGCTGCTTCTGATAATTATACAGACTGTCTTTTCTCTTGTCCATCTGGATTCTCACCCTGTTGTCTCTTCAGACTTCTGGTAACTGCTTTCCTTTCTCTGCATAGTCAGATTTTGAAAGTTGTGGTTTTCTTGCAATGTAATTATTTGTGATGACAAGTAAGATGAGCCCTTGGGGTGAAGTGTCTAAAGTGCTCAGCTACAAACTAAGAGGTTGGCAGTTCAAACCCACCAGCTCCTCTGTGGGGTAAGGGCTAGGAGGTTTGCTTCTGTAAAGATTCCCAGTCTTGGAAACTCTAAGGAGTGTTACTCTGCCCTGCAGTGGGTTTACTTTGGTTGGCTTTGGGTGACAGATCGTGTGCATGGTTTGAAATAGCATAGTTGTATCATTTGCATACAGCACCTTTACAGTTACTATGGCAATGAATATAGAAACCAGCTATGAGTTTAGGTATATAATAAATTCTAAAAATTAAAAAACGAATCTTTCCTGTTTAGTCTTTTATAGTTGCTCCCCCACCCCCCATAATAATATAAGGGGACTTCAAGCAGTTCATGGAAAAAATGTAATTAAAAGTTAATTCTATTTTATATTATATGTTACAGTATATTTTCTTTCTTTCAGGGAATCAAAGTTGATAGCCTTATTGACTCAGTTAAAACAATCTGTGTGGGAGATCATATTGAATCTATAAATGGAGAAAATATTGTTGGATGGCGTCATTATGATGTTGCCAAGAAGTTGAAGGAATTGAAAAAGGAGGAACAATTTACCTTGAAGTTAGTGGAACCTAAGAAGGCATTTGGTGAGTGTTCTCTCTTTGTCCCCCTCCCCTCAGCCCCCCATGAAATGTTCCTATCTCTGGCTTACCTTTCTAAGGAATGTGTGTTATGTGCTAGTACATATTCGTATCTAACGTCACTTCTGAATACAGAACATTATGGGCAGTACTTCTTATCCGGAAAAGAAATATCAAAGGAAAAGAATTTGCCTTGTAAAGGACATTTTCTTGGAAAAAAAAAAAGGTATTTGGAATAAAGAAGTTCAGTGACTTTGAATTTGGTGTTCATTTCACTCATTTTGCTGAGTAACATGAATAAGTGATCAAGCTCTTGACACCATAAGAGTTGCCTTTTAGGCATGTACATATGCAAATATATTTATATGAGGATGAGGAAATAGATCTATGAGCCTATATTTATAGGTTTAGTATTAAGGTAGCAGAAGGACATTGGGCCT